CCCTGCTTTCCTGGTCGGTCTTGGAGTGCGGGATGAGCAGCCACATCGCCTCCGGCTCAAACTGTATGTCATGCCATTGGAGACTGACAAGGTCGGAGTAGCGTAGGAAGGCGGCGAACATAAGGATGGGGATGAGTCCTTTCTGGTATTCGGCCGGCCGGGTGGACTCCAGAAAGGGGCGGGCCATGGTGTGCACTTGGTGCAGCGACAAAGGTTCCTTGTTCCGGGTGGGGCGCGGGCCATGGCGTTTGGCAAATTCGCGCACTTGTAGTGTAAATGGTCCAGTCGAGGGAGAGGGCTCGCCAGTCATGCGATGCGCGAAGGCGACAGCGGAGCATGTAAGCGATATGGCAGATGTGGTGGCCTGGTGATTTAGTGCATGAATGAGGTAGAGTGCCAAGGTCATATCCGTTGCAGGCAAGTAGCTCAACTTCACCTTCATGCAAAAGGAGCGAAATTTGAGCCAGTCGGGCTCATACGTTCGGATGGTGGAAGGGGCACGGACATGGGTGATTACGTGTAGTAGTTGTGTTTGCAGCTTCGTTATAATGCCTGAAAAGGTACAGCGTAGAGTACAATTATGATTTATTTTTATACGTGACATGCAATGCAATCATCTTACTAGGAGGAAAGCCTTGTCCTGCGAAAGCGAGTGCGTGTGTGCCGGGGCGTAGGCATTGGCTGCCGTGGGTGAGGGGAATGTGTGCCGTTACTTCTGGCACCCATGCATCAGGTGCCTGTTGGAGGAGTGACCACCATGATGCTCCCGGCCACTCGGGAATGACCAAGGTCACCTCAGCGTGTGTGCGTTTAGCGTGTCGTAATGTGGCTGGAATGAGGTTGGGAGGGGGAAACGCAAAGCCGCGCTCGTGCTGCCAGCTGAACGAAAAAGCGTCAAACACTGCGGCCGTAGGGTGTGGAATCTTGGAGCAAAACCTCTCCAGCTGAGCGTTGTGCACATTTGCGAAGAGATCGATAGAGTGGGGACCCAGGCGGCGATCCAAGAGCCGGAACCACGGGGCTTTGAGGGAGTAGTCATCGTGGTCTTGGATTTTTGAAAGTTCGTCGGCGTGCGCATTCAGCTCTCGTGGGATCCATTGGATAGCTAGCCTTGTTTGGTGTTCCAGGCAGAGGCGAATGATTGCTTGACACAGTAGATCCACCCTTGCGTAGGATGAATACCACGCCTTGATTGTCTACCCGAACGAGTACGTGGCGCTTGGGTATGCGGGCAGCGAAAGTTCGGAGAGCCCATAAAACTCCTTCGAGTTCCCGTCGAGTGCTGGAGGTGGGCAGTAGTTCCTCGGGCATGCGAGCACTGGCTTCAATGGGCGTCGCAAGAAGTTGTGTCAGGGTGGCGCCCCGGCTGTGTGCGCTTGCATCGACGTGGATGACGGCATCGAACCGGTGACTGAGATGGAATGGGTTTCCGTTGAACTTGTCGAACTGCGCAAGCCAAAAATGCAGCTCGTGCACTGCTGTCGACGACAAGTGTGCCTTGGCGTGCCAAGAGGTGGCGTCTGCAATAAGTCGAAGGAGCTCGTGAGGCACGTGCCGTAGCACCCAATGCAAGATTCATGGAGGCCAGCATTCCTGTGATTCTCGCAAGGGACCGGATGGGAACCGGTCGTCCCTCTTGTCCCTGGGTGATGAGGGCTTGGAGTGAAGCAAAAAGTTGTGCTCGACGTTCGAGTCCGACGGAGAAGGTGCCTTGGGCGGCATCAATCTCCAGGCCGAGGAAAGCTACCTGGCGCGAGGGGTGTAGATGTGACTTTTTGCCGTTTATAACAAAACCTGCTGCCTTCAGGTCCTTCACAACAACTGCGCAGGTCGAGCGTGCATCCGAGTGGGAGTTGCAGAGGAATAGTAAGTCGTCGACATATGGAACAACCCGCACGCCGCTTGCCCGCCATCGCTTTGCCAGTTGTTTGATCAGTTGTGTGAAGACGAATGGGGCAGTGGCAAGCCCGAACGGGAGCGATATGAAGGAATAGTAGTCTCCTTCGAACTGGAATCCCAAGAACTTCCAGCAAGAGGGGTGGATCTCGACATGGTGGTAGCCTGACTTTAGGTCGATGGAGAACATCCAATCGCCTGGGCGGATGAGTTCGGCTACCCTGTTCAAGCCTTCGTACTTGAACTTAGGGATGTCGAGGTAGTTGTTGACTTTGCGCAAGTCAAGAATGAGGCGACACTTGTCGCGCTGCTCCACCACGTTAAGTGGACTGACACACATGAGCACGTCCTTCGTAGGGACCTTGACGGCGGCACCCGAGGTGACGAGGTCGCGAATTGCTCCACCAGTGAAGTCCAGGTGTGTGTGAACTCCAGCATGATTGCTATCCTCAAAGGCATATGGCACGGCTTCCTTCCAGGGACGCCAATATCCTTTCGCGATGATGGACAGGATGAAACTGCTATCGCACCATGAGCACCACCAGTGTAGGGCGTGACGCAATCGACTATGCATGACAGTTACGTCCTTGTCTGCAACCGTGTACTCGTAGGGGTCATGTTCGTTGTGTAACCATCCTTTCCCAATTTCTGCTGGACCAAAGGGTCGGGTGGCAAGAATCACATAGGTACCCAAGTGAGTGAGACCAGACAATTGCCTAAAGGGTGGATGTGTCATAGTCGATTCCAGGGGGGACATAGCTCCCATTCAGTTGGCAAAAGAAAGAGTGGCTCATGTTCAATTGCAAAAAGGGCATGGCTGATATTCATGCCTTCTCCCTTTAGCGCTCGAGCCTTCGTCACCTCTCTCTCTCTCTCTCTCTCTCTCTCTCTCTCTCTCTCTCTCTCTCTCTCTCTCTTCTCTCTCTCTTCTCTCTCTCTTCTCTCTCTCTCTCTCTCTCTCTCTCTCTCTCTCTCTCTCTCTCTCTCTCTCTCTCTCTCTCTCTCTCTCTCTCTCTCTCTCTCTCTCTCTCTCTCTCTCTCTCTCTCTTCTCTCTCTCTCTCTCTCTCTCTCTCTCTCTCTCTCTCTCTCTCTCTCTCTCTCTCTCTTGCTCTCTCTCTCTCTCTTTCTCTCTCTCTCACTCTTTCTGTCTCTCACTCTCTCTCTCTCTCTCTCTCTCTCTCTGCTCTCTCTCTCTCTCTCTCTCTCTCTCTCTCTCTCTCTCTCTCTCTCTCTCTTTCTCTCTCTCTCTCTCTCCCTCTCTCTCTCTCTCTCTCTCTCTCTCTCTCTCTCTCTCTCTCTCTCTCTCTCTCTCATACACACACACACACACACTTTCTTTCTTTCTCTCTTTCTATCTCTTTTTCTCTCTCTCTCTCTCTCTCTCTCTCTCTCTCTCTCTCTCTCTCTCTCTCTCTCTCTCTCTCTCTCTCTCTCTCTCACTCACTCTCTCTTTGTTTCTCTTGCCTTCTCTCTTTCTCTCTTTCATCAAGGCCTTGCAAAAGTTTTTTTTTTTTTTTTTTTTTCAATCTTAGTTTCAATGCGCCATAACGGCATGCATGATCCGTACATGGAATAACGCAAGGTTCTAGGCCCACGGCCTTCTCTGCCCCTAGGGCTACCCTAGTCTACTAGGCCATTTGCCTTGTCCTAAGGCCGGCCACCAGCCATGCACCCCCGGTGCAGCCGAATATGCTTCTTGCATATTGGCGAAGGGCACCGCCCTTACCCCCGCTCACACCTCCGGTGAGGGGCCTTGTGCTCCACGCCCGCCCATGGGGCACGCGTTAGCCATGTGACCTGGCTGGCCACAGCGGAAGCACACGCCCTTGAAGCGTGGCTGCTGGCACGTGAGAGGGGGGGAGCCTTTGAGGTCCATTTCTCCGTCACGACCGCCGGGACGACCACTACGGGGGTAGATGGCGCGTGCGCGCTTGAGTGCAGCCACGTCGGCGACCGCCAGCGTGTAGGAACGGGACGTCAGCACACTCTTGGACTGGTAGAGCTGGAAGCGATCAGCGGCCTCAAAGCCGGCCTCATCCGCCACGAGAAGCACCTCGAAACGCTTATTAATAAGCGTCTCGATGTGTTTCACGTTGTTGAGTGCGCCGGTGACGTTGCCGTGCTGCAGCTCGAAGTCGATGTGCTGCAGGTGCGTTTGGATAGCAGTGAAGACTTCGGCCTGGTCGCGCACGCCCTTACGCATGAAGGTAGTTGCTGCGGGCGTGGGACCAAGGGGGGGAAGAGGGGGGGCGGGGGCGAGAATGTGATGGCGAGCAATATTGGCAGGAGCCTCACCATCATCGTTTTCAGAGTCATCGCTGTCGTCGGTGTCATTGGCGAGTGCGGGAGTCGGTGCCGGGGGCTGGTTGTCGACGCGCGGAGCTTTCGGCGCGCGAGTAGGTGGCGGCATTTCTTTCTTCTTGGCGAAATTGGTTGTAGCAGTTATATTGTCCGAAGATGTTCCGAGCGTAACATTCGGCTGCTGGTGTAACAGCGCCAAAAGCGCCTGGAGTTGTTGTGTGGTCAACGCGGGGGCGGCGGCGGCTAGCACGACCTCGTCAAAGGGCGTGTGCTCGGTGGGGCCCGCGTGGCCTGCAGCCGTCGCGACGTGCGCAGGCGCGTGGTCCTCCGTTGGCAGCTCGGTGGGGCCCGCATGGCCTGCAGCTCGGAGCAGCGCGATTGGCGCCAAGCAGGACCTCGACAGCCGAGGGCCCCTCGCCAAAAATTTCCTCAGCAGGACGTTTCTGGCGACGGGCGGTTGCCCCGGCCGAAGTTCCGGGCTCCACGGAATTGTTGGGGTTGTTCGTCGGACGATTCGGAGTCGTGTTCGCCGACGCCATGTTAGCGAGGTTGTGCTGCAAAATGTCGGTGAGGAGCGTCGTCAGAGCCTTGCCTCGGGGGAGGGACTGGGTCTTCGCCAGGTTGGACGAGAAACTGCGGAAATTGAACTAGAGAAACTAGAAATGAAGAACGTGGGTGAGGCCGAATGGCCTCATGTCCCTCTTTTGTAGGCAAAAGAGGGTGAGTAGCGCTTCGTCGCTGCCTTTGCTGCGTTGGCCCTCGCTACACTCTCACAATACACATTTTTAGAAAGTGTTACACGCTTTCAAAAAATTACATTTTTACAACTGGGACTTAGTCTCTGGAAAGATCCTAAGGGCCTTTCTCAGCCCAATACTAACAATGGTTTCCAACACAGGCTCATAACCAGGCTTCGATTCAGAAAACCTTGAGTAGCCGGAATTTGTTTTTTACTAGAAAGGGTACATCTGGCTTTAGCCCTTGCCCTGCACAGATCACAATTCAAGAAACATGAGCGAAGCAGTGTTGGTGTGCGGGTGTGAAAAAGGGAGCAAATAGCGACAAACGGCAGTGGAAGGAGAAAGTTCAGTGGGAAGCATGCATGTCGTGTCATGACATGCATCAGACGAACCTGAGGCAAGGGTTATGAGTGGTTACCCTCACAGCTGCTGCACAGGTAAATTGTAAGCACGGGTCAAGTTTCCGAGATCAGCCACATAAAGATGTTCCAGACAGCATGCACATGAGGCAATATGAGGCACTCACCTATCCATTCACCTACCCACTCACCTACCCACTCACCTATCCATTCACCTACCCACTCACCTATCCATTCACCTACCCACTCACCTATCCATTCACTTACCCACTCACCTATCCATTCACCTACCCACTCACCTACCCATTCAACTATCCATTCACCTACCCACTCACCTACCCACTCACCTATCCATTCACCTACCCACTCACCTATCCATTCACCAACCCACTCACCTTGCCACTCGCCTTGCCACTCACCTTGCCACTCGCCTTGTTGCTGGGATTTGATTTGCATGCGAGCTTGTGGGAGGGCCAGTGCGCCTTTTGGCAGTCTCTGTTGCAATACGCCACCTTGCCACACCCAGAGCAGTTTTTCAGCTTCACACCACCACCCTCCGCTCTCCCACACCCTTTAGCACCGCACATACGTCCCCCACAAGCAGCAGGACGAGATCCTTCTGCAGCTGACACGAATGCACTGTTTCGTGCAAGTCCAACGGGTGGAGCAGCAGGGGTGGAAGACGCAGCAGGAGAAGGGACGGCAGAGCTAGGTGCAGCACCAGCATGGGTTGAAGGTGCAACATGCGAGGCAGGGCGGTAGCACGGCTGCCCCAGTAGCATCTCCCGCAGACATGCCAAAAGATTGATCCCCCCTGGCCATGGCTTCAAATAAGCGGGCACCTCCTCCTTCTCTCCCTTCCCCACACTGTTGCTGCCGCTGTCGCCACCGCTGATGCTGCTGCTCCCCATGCTCGTGTCACTACTGCTCGTGCTGATACTCTTGATGCTGCTGTTTCCACTGCTGCTACCACAGCCGCTGGCGGACCCAGCTTGGTCGGGCATGTCTTCCCAGAACCTCGGCTGTGCAGCCCGGCTCCACATGTCAACGCCCCACTCCCTTGACATGGGCGCTCCAGGCTCCCTCTGCAGCACGCCGCTGCTACCCCTGGTGCATGACACATCCAACCCCGGCCCTGTGATCTTCGTGCTGACCCGCCACGCAGTGAACATAGAGTTGCACCACGCCCGCACCTCCTGCCACACCTCCCCATCGTCCTCCTCCTCCTCCACACCGCCCACACCCCCCACCCTGCCTCCCCTCCCCCCTTTCTTCTCACCCTTCCTCTCCACTCCTCTACCGATAACTTCCCTGTTTCCAACCAACTCTTCAGAGTCATCAATACCCATGATGGGCTTGGCATGGTACACGGCCACGCCCAGCAAGAAGAACACGGGCATTTGCTGCGCCCTGTCTCGCATCACCCTCTCCCTCAGCCCTGGAATCCTAGTCAGCTCAGCCAGCTGCTCGGCCCGCTGCCGAATCACAATCTCCTCATGTGTGCCTGAGATTCTAGTGCACCCAAGCGCCTGCTCTGCTCTCTGGCGCGCCCCAACCTTCCTCATGCCCGCAGGAGTCTCCTCCGGAGTGAGCGGCGACCGCAGCAGGAGAGCCTGCAGCAGCTGAGCGAACTCAGGGGTGTGCGGGGGAAACGTGGAGATAAAGCGGGTGAAGAGAACCTCGACGGGGCGGTAGGCGAAATTGGCGATGAGAGCACAGGTGGGGATGTGGTAGACGAAGGTCTGGAGGCACTTGAGGCAATGGCTGCACTGTGGGGGAATGATCATGGGCCCGAGAATCTCCAGCACAAAATCCGCATCCGCCCTGCAGCGAATGATGGGCCGCCTCCTTTTGTGTGCTGTCAGCAATGAGGATGTGGGCGAATCCTGCGAGTCTCCCTGCCCCCTCCCATGCCCAGCCATCCTTTCACCCCCCTGTTCAACCCTCTTGCTGGCACTCCCCTTCCCTCCTCTCACCCTCCCTCCTCGCCCCCTCCCAGCCTTGTCCTTCCCTCCTGCTCTATCTGCCTGCTCGGATGGCGTCTGCCCACCTTCCTCTGCTGCCCCACCTTCCACAATACCCAGTCCAAAGAAACGAGCACTCGGGTCTTCTGGAAATTTCACAGCAGCTTCATCGCCCTGAGGCCACTCCTCCCACTCCAGGGAAAAGCAGCTTCCCTCCAGAGGCTTGGGGATTGCTTTGTGCCTGAGCAGCAGGCTCGGAAGGTCCCGAAGCGGGTGGCGCATGGGCAGGACCCGGCCTTGTGGGTCGTCCTTGAAGCAATGCTTCTCAGAGATGAAATCTGAGCTGTAGAATCGCACCCACTGCAAGATGCACCCGACTCGATAAGTTAGGACGGCCATAGCAGGATGTGTGTTGACAGGCACGAGTCCAGGGGCGGGGATCGCAGCAGGTTGAATGGATGCAGTTGCAGAGAAACCACTGGTGGCCGTAACAGCACTGGTGGGCGAAGAGGAGGTAGCAGCAGTAGTAGAAGCACTGGTGGCAGGGGACGAAGTGGTGGCAGCAGCAGTGCCAACGCCACATGCAATGGTGGCATCAGAAGCGCTATAGTTACCAAAAGAGTCTGCTGCTACCTCCTCTGCTGCTCGGTCGGTGGCTCTTGCTCCCCCTGCTCTCCCTTTTTCTCCCATCCCTCTTCTCAGCCTGCTCCTGGCTTCCTGAATCGCTGTATTCTCCAATTTTGTCTTGCTGGCGTTGTTCCCATCAATGACATATGCCTGATCCTCACAGTGCTCTGGCTTGGAGAGCACTGTAGCGACAGCAAGGGCGAAGTCAGTGGCTCCCACGCCGCTCACGAACATGCCCTTGGGAACGTCCCTCCCTTCCACGTTTCTGCTTCCATCATTGTAACCTTCACCACAGTTGCTGCTGCCACCACCACCGTTACTGCTGCTGCCAACACCACAGCCACTGCTGCAGCTGCTGCTGCCCTCGCTGCAATGGCTGCACTTAAACTCCCTCCCTTTTCCCCCTCCATGCTCCAGAATCCAAGCCATGCCATCCACATACCTCTCCCACACAGGCCCCTTCAGATGCTCCCTCCACCGCCCAGCCCTAGAGCCATCGCCCCCCTGACTGCCCCCCTGACCGCCTCCTCCTTCCCCTTCTCCTTCATCCTCCCCATCCCCTGTGTCGGGCACCGTGCCCCCGACACCCACCGTGCCCCCGACACCCATCATGCCTTCCGTTCCCCTGCCCCCTCCCATCAGCCGCATCGCAGCCAAAGCAACTGGCCCCGCATTCCCGAGCGCTGCAGCTTTCTTCCCCGTTCCCCCCGTCCCCTCCGCATGGGCCTTCTCAAGGCCGCCTGACAGCAGATTCTGCAGGAAGAACCCAAACCCTTCCTTGAGTTCAGCAGTCTCCTTCACCCCGAGAATCTGCACCAGCATGGAGGCAAAGCAGTCTGGCTCTGCTTGCCTGACCGCCCCCAGCTCGGTCACTAGAGCTGTGAATGTGGGAGACTGTGAGTCCATGTGGGCCTTCCATAGAGTCACAACGCGGGGAGATCTTGCTACAAGCACGAGGAAGGAAGCGAAGCTGACAGCACGGCGGTAGGCAGCCCAGCAGCTGCTGCAGCGCCAGCAGCAGGACCACGCTGCACAAACAACGGCTGGAGCAGCAGGAGCAGCAGCGGTTGGAGCAGCAGCAGGAGCGATGGGAGCAGGAGGTTTTGCAGCAGAATCTGTAGCACCCAGAATAGCCGGCAGGCGGGACCTGATCCCCCTCAAGTCCATGAGCACGCCCACACGAGGCTCAGCCATCCACTCCAGAAGCATCGCCTCCACACAAAACAAAGGCGCCCGCTCACACTTCCAGATGTATTGATATATAACCGGTGCTGACTGCTCCCCCAGGCCCCCTAGCACCTTCACCCCCAGTAACACCTGCACCGGTAGCCTCTGGGAGTACATGAAAATCGCATCTGCTGGTCGACTCGGGGGAGCAGGGGGTATGGCAGGAGACTGGCCCCTATGTAGATGCAGGAGGAACGACATGAGGTTGACCTTGCCAAGAGCATGCTCGGCCCGATAGGCCACCGCACGGTCGAAGCACCACGCGCACTCAGCCGCAAGCCACGCGGCCCGCACGTCCACGTAGTGAATCATGTCTTCTCGCGACATGAGCCGCAGCTGCGGCTGATGCTTCTCCTCCGGCCCTTCTAGAGTCCCCCCCGCGGCTCCCCCTTCCCCGCCGGCCGCTCTCTCCCTCCGCCTTTGCTGTCGGCTCTTTGGCTTGGGCGCAGCCTGCTCGCGTTTCACACCCTCACTTAGTTGGAGGTCCCATTTCTTCTGCACCGCCTGCTCGTCTTGCAGAAGCATGTGCCGCCAGGGGGGGGGCGCTTTGGCCTCTTCTCCGGGCTTGCCCTTATAGATCACCTCATAGCGGTTCAGCTTACCGAGATAGGCGCAAGCAGGGCCGCAGGGCCCACTTGTCCCAGGGGGGGAATAAGAACTGGCACCTGCAGCAGCAGCAGCAGCAGCAGCAGCAGCTGACGCATGCGCTGGATTGCTCTTGCTGCTCTGCGCTGCTGCTTTTCCTTTCCCTTTCTGTTTCTCCGAATCATTGCTGCTGCTGCTGCTAGGATTGAGAGGGTCCCCATGGAAAGGGTCAGCTGAATGCGAAGCAGCAGCAGCAGCAGCGGCAACAGCAGCAGCAGGAACGCCGGCTGAACTAGTAGCAGCAGCAGGAAGGGGAGGAGGAGGATGAAGATTCGCCGCTCCAGTTGCAGCAGCTGCAGCCGCAGCAGGAACGCCAGCTGAACTAGCAGCAGCAGCAGGAGCAGCAGCAGCAGGATGGAGATTCGCCCCTTTGACTGCAGCAGCAGACGGATCAGCTCGCTTCATACCGTCGCCCTTGCCCGCGCCCTTGCCCGCGCCCTTACCCGGTCCTTTTCCGTCCGCTGCCTGTACAGGAACCACTCTGATTACTGTCCCTGCTGTAAGCTTCGCCTTCTCAACGGTCACGTCAGGAGAGAGGCACGCGGCTTGTCCACGAGCTATAAATCGGACTTGCTTCGTCCCATTCCCCTCAGTCACGCTCCTGCCATCCGCTTCCCCCGCTCCCTGCTTCCCACCTTCCCCCGCTCCCTGCCTCCCACCATCCTCCGCTCCCTGCTGCTGCTGCTGCTGCTGCTGCTGCTGCTGCTGACGTTGGTCGCATGCCAAGGAGCAGCCTGGCAGGTAGGACCGAAACAGCATAGTGAAGATCGATCCGAGATGCTGCTTTGGAGAGACGGCGACATCAACTTCCACGTGGGATGCGCATTCTGATGTCACTTCGCTCATCTGGTCCCTGAATTCTCGACGAATCAAATCAGTCGGGACTTTGAATCTAATCGAAAAATGCATTTTGTTGGAGGCAAAGGTGTCACTAGGTTGGTCACGAGTAATAAACCTCACAGGCTGGACCTATAATAAATGAAGTCGTAGTTATTGTAAGTGATTATGCCAGCAGGGTACACTAACTTTCTGCTGCAATCCTAGTAACTCGAACTCTCGTAATTATCGCGAATTCTGACCAATGCAATGCCATCTACGCGCGACGAGGTACCCAGATCGACTCTAGAGCACAAGTCCAGAGCCTATACAGCGTCGTTCGGTGGACAGTACAACGCGTACAATAATCAGCTATAAAGATGGCGTCTTTTCGTAGAGCCGTCAGATAATCGTTCTGCGGGAGCACTGGACCAACTATGCATTCGACCTATACGTTGCCCCGAATCTAATTTATCACCAGGTAAGCTGAAGTTGCCATACACTAGGGATCTGAATGCGCTCATCCACTGAACATAAGGGCCAAGCTAGACTGCGTTTTAAAGCCCAGGTCCCAAATTAGCAAGGTTGACCATCAAACTGGGCCCAGTTTGATGTGGTTCGGGTTGGTAACCCAATCCACCCTCACCCAGACCGGGAAAATGCCGAGGGGCTAACCACCCCTTTTCGCACAAGAACATGCCACCTCCCCTGACAAACCAGCCAGCCAGGGACGGAAATAGCATGGGCCCAGTTTGATGGTAATTTGGGACGAGGAGGTAGACAGATCCCACAAGGTCCACCCATTTATGTCGGGGAGTTAGGAGCAAAGCGCGTACTTCCAGATATGGACGAAAAAGCCAAGACAAGTCTCACGTGATGAATTGACTCTGTCGCAAGTGAGGCATCAGAATAGGGTTTAGGGTGATGCGAGAGGATAATGACAAGGCAAGAGGCGAGCGGCTCTCGCTGGAGGAGAGGCGACGCGATAGGAGAGGCTTTGCGGTAGGAGAGAGGGGACGCGAAGGAATGTAGCGACTCGATAAGAGAGAGGCCTCGCGGTAGGATAGAGTGAGACGAGGCGAGGGGAGAGATGTGAGCTGAGAGGAGAGAAGTAAGGCGTGAGGAGACAGACGACGCGGGAGGACAGAGGCGACGCAAGAGGAGATGGGCGGATCGAAATTCGAGAGGCGACGCCAGAGGAAATAGCGACACGTGGTGAGAAGAGAGAGGTAAGGCGAGAGGACAGGCGATGCGTGAGGAGACAGTCGACGCGGGAGGACAGAGGCTAGGCAAGGATAGAGGCTAGGCGAGACGAGAGCGGCGACGAGACAGGGGAGAGACGACGCGAGAGGAGAGGAGCGAGGCGTATGGTAGAGGCATGGCGAGAGAAGTGAGCAACACGCGAAAGGCACGGGCTAGACATGGCTGAAAGCGGCGGCGCGAGAGGAGGTAGGCGAGGAGAGGGGATAAAGGCGAGGAGGGAGGAGAGAGATGGCGGGAGGTGAGACAGGAGACGCGGGAGGAGAGAGGTGGCGGGAGAGGAGAGAGGCGCCTAAAGAGAGGAGAGCGGCGAGGGGGGATGAGGGGAAGCACCGCGAGATAGGAGGCGGGTTGAGAAGGGGAGCAATGCAACATACGAAGCGAAGTGGGAGGGGGAGCCACGCGGGATAAGAAGCGTGGCAGAGAGGGGAGGCGAGGCGGAGAGGGGAGGCGAGGCTGAGAGGGGAGGCGAGGCAGAAGGGGGAGGCGTGGCGGAGAGGGGTGGCGAGGTGGGGAGGGGAGGCGAGGCGTAGAGGGGAGGCGTGGCGGAGAGGGGAGGCGAGGCAGAGAGGGGGGGCGAGCCAGAGAGGGGAGGCAAGCAGAGGGGGGAGGCGAGGCAGAGGGGGGAGGCGAGGCGGAGAGGGGAGGCGAGGCTGAGAGGGGAGGCGAGGCTGAGAGGGGAGGCGAGGCGGAGAGGGGAGGTGTGGCGGAGAGGGGAGGCGAGGCAGAAGGGGGAGGCGTGGCGGAGAGGGGTGGCGAGGTGGGGAGGGGAGGCGAGGCAGAGAGGAGAGGCGAGGCAGAGAGGGGGGGCGAGTCAGAGAGGGGAGGCAAGCAGAGGGGGGAGGCGAGGCAGAGGGGGGAGGCGAGGCGGAGAGGGGAGGCGAGGCTGAGAGGGGAGGCGAGGCTGAGAGGGGAGGCGAGGCGGAGAGGGGAGGTGTGGCGGAGAGGGGAGGCGAGGCAGAAGGGGGAGGCGTGGCGGAGAGGGGTGGCGAGGTGGGGAGGGGAGGCGAGGCGTAGAGGGGAGGCGTGGCGGAGAGGGGAGGCGAGGCAGAGAGGGGGGGCGAGTCAGAGAGGGGAGGCAAGCAGAGGGGGGAGGCGAGGCAGAGGGGGAGGCGAGGCGGAGAGGGGAGGCGAGGCTGAGAGGGGAGGCGAGGCTGAGAGGGGAGGCGAGGCGGAGAGGGGAGGTGTGGCGGAGAGGGGAGGCGAGGCAGAAGGGGGAGGCGTGGCGGAGAGGGGTGGCGAGGTGGGGAGGGGAGGCGAGGCAGAGAGGAGAGGCGAGGCAGAGAGGGGGGCGAGGCAGAGAGGGGAGGCGAGGCAGAGGGGGGAGGCGAGGCGGAGAGGGGAGGCGAGGCTGAGAGGGGAGGCGAGGCTGAGAGGGGAGGCGAGGCGGAGAGGGGAGGTGTGGCGGAGAGGGGAGGCGAGGCGGAGAGGGGAGGTGTGGCTGAGAGGGGAGGCGAGGCAGAAGGGGAGGCGTGGCGGAGAGGGGTGGCGAGGTGGGGAGGGGAGGCGAGGCAGAGAGGGGAGGCGTGGCGGAGAGGGGAGGCGAGGCAGAGAGGGGGGCGAATCAAAGAGGGGAGGCAAGCAGAGGGGGGAGGCGAGGCAGAGGGGGGAGGCGAGGCAGAGAGGGGAGGCGAGGCGGAGAGGGGAGGCGAGGCGGAGAGGGCAGGCAAGGCAGAGAGGGGAGGCGAGGCGTAGAGGGGAGGCGAGACAGAGAGGGGAGGCGTGGCGGAGAGGGGAGGTGAGGCGTAGAGGAGAGGCAAGGCAGAGAGGGGAGGCGAGGCAGAGAGGGGAGGCGAGGCGGAGAGGGGAGGCGAGGCGGAGAGGCCCTCTGTCCCTGTGCGCTAACCACCCTGCCGTCCCCTCTCGCCCCATGCACTAGCCCTCCTTGCTTCCCCTCTGTCCCTGTACGCTAACCACCCTCCCCTTTCTGCCTCACCTCCCCTCTCCGCCTCGCCTCCCCTCTCTGCCTCGCCTCCCCCTCCGCCTCGCCTCCCCTCTCCGCCACGCCTCCCCTCTCTGCCTTTCCTCCCCTCTTTGCCTCGCCTCCCCTCTCTGACTCGCCCCCCCTCCACTCTCTGCCTCGCCTCCCCTCTACGCCTCGCCTCCCCTCTCTGCCTTGCCTTCCCTCTCCACCTCGCCTCCCCTCTCCGCCACGCCTCCCCTCTCCGCCTTGCCTCCCCTGTCTGCCTCGCATGCACCAGGGGGAGAGGGGAAGTCTGGGTGGTTAGCGCTCAGGGAAAGAGGGGCAGGAAGGGGGGTTACTGCACAGGGTGAGAAGGGAAGGCAGGGTGGTTAGTGCACAGGGAGAGAGGGGCAGCAAGGGGGGTTACTGCACGGGGTGAGAGGGGAAGGCAGAGTGGTTAGCGTACAGGGACAGAGGGGCAGCAAGGAGGGTTAGAACACGGGGTGAGAGGGGAAGGCAGGGTGGTTAGCGCACAGGGACAGAGGGGCGGCAAGGTGGGTCATTGTATGGGGTGATAACTAAAGGTTATGGGATAAAGGCGACACGAGTTTCCCACAAAGACCCACCCACCTCCCCCTCACCACTGCCCCCCCCCCCCCCTCTTCTGCGTCTCCACATCATCATGACCCGACTCCCAGTTTCGGGCTCCAGGACCAGCACAATGGCGCATCCCAGCATAAACTCCCTCGGCTACGCTTTCTTTTGCGGAATGCAACGACTGGGCCTTTGTGCTCAGATTCCATCCCAAAAGCAACTACAAAAGACTATCACCGGCACATGCATGATCTAGGCAATGCAGCAAAGTGTATTTTGAGCCATCGGCCAAACCCAATGACTTTCACTAGGTTAGTTGAGAAACTGTCAGGAGGCATCCCGCCTTGCAATATCGGCATGGAGGGAAATGAGAGCCACATCTTCTCCCACAACCCCCCACGCACAGTGCATGTTTGTAGTATTACACATAGAATGTAACATGCTATCAAAATATGAGTAGCAAAGCTCCGAGCTAGTTGGCTGGCATTCTTGAATAATTACACCCCGGATTCAAAAAGATGCTGCAATAGGATACCCCCACCAGAGAGGGGTGGCTGAGGGGAGCAATCCGAGACAAAACAGCACCCTGGTGAACGGGGGAGACAACCTGCAAGCCATAACGAAGCAGAGAACAAACAAGGAAACTAAGACAAGAGTGGGGAACATGGATGCGATGATGACGAATCCAAGTGAAGGTGCGAAGGGGGAAGGTTCATCTGGTGCTAGTGATTACGACTCTTTGCCTGATGTGTCGAGAGGAGATGGACGACGCGGGTTAGGATAGATCCTAAGTCTGAGAGGGTAGGACAGGGTGGTTAGTGCACAGGGCCAGAGGGGAGGCAATGTTGGATAGTGCAACGGAGGGAGAGGGGAAGTCAGAGTGGTTAGCGCACAGGGTCAGAGGGGCAGCAAGGAGGGTTAGGGCACGGGGTGAGAGGGGAGGACAGGGTGGTTAGCGCACAGGGACAGAGGGGCAGCAAGGTGGGTTAGGGCACCAGGGGAAGAGGGGAAGCCAGGGTGTTTAGTGCACAGGGACAGAGGGGCAGCGAGGTGGGTTAGTGCATGGGGTGAGACGGGAAAGCACAGTGGTTAGTGCACAGGGACAAAGGGGCAGCAAGGTGGGTTAGTGCACGGGGGGGGAAGGGAAGTCAGAGTGGTCAGCGCACAGGGACAGAGGGGCAGCAAGGAGGGTTGTAGCACGGGGTGAGAGGGGTAGGCAGGGTTAGCTAACAGGGACAGAGGGGCAGCAGGGTGGGTTAGTGCACTGGGGGAGAGGGGAAGCCAGGGTGGTTAGCGCTCAGGGAGAGAGGGTCAGCAAGGTGGGTAAGGGCATGGGGTGAGGGGGAAGGTAGGGTGGGTAGCGCACAGGGACAGAGGGGCAGCAAGGTGGGTTAGTGCATGGGGTGAGACGGGAAAGCAGGGTGGTTAGTGCACAGGGACAGAGGGGCGGCAAAATGGCTTAGTGCACGGGGGAGAGGGGAAGTCAGAGTGGTCAGCGGACAGGGACAGTGGGGCGCAAGGAGGGTAGGGCACGGGGTGAGAGGGGAGGACAGGGTGGTTAGCGCACAGGGACAGAGGGCGGCAAGGTGGGTTAGTGCACGGGGAGTCACAGGGACAGAGGGGCAGCAAGGTGGGTTGGAGCACGGGGTGAGAGGGTAGGCAGGGTTAGTAACAGGGACAGAGGGGCAGCAGGGTGGGTTAGTGCACAGGGAAAGAGGGGTAGCAAGGTGGGTTAGTGCACGGGGGGCGAAGGGAAGTCAGAGTGGTCAGCGCACAGGGACAGCAGGGGGCAGCAAGGAGGGTTTGGAGCACGGGGGTGGAGAAGGGGTAGGACAGGAGGGTTAGCTAACAGGGACAGAGGGGCAGCAGGGTGGGTTAGTGCACAGGGAAAGAGGGGTAGCAAGGTGGGTTAGTGCACGGGGGGCGAAGGGAAGTCAGAGTGGTCAGCGCACAGGGACAGAGGGGCAGCAAGGAGGGTTAGGGCACGGGGTGAGAAGGGAGGACAGGGTGGTTAGCGCACAGGGACAGAGGGGTGGCAAGGTGGGTTAGGGCACTGGGGGGAGAGGGGAGGACAGGTGGTTAGCGCACAGGGACGAGGGGCGGCACGATGGGTTAGTGCACGGGGGGAGAAGGGAAGTCAGAGTGGTCAGCGCACAGGGACACAGGGGGCAGAGAGGTGGGTTAAGGCATGGGGTGAGACGAGAAACAGGGTGGTTAGCGCACAGGGAAAGAGGGGCGGCAAGGTGGGTTAGGGGCACCGAGAGGGGAGAGGGGGAGCACAGGGACAGGGTGGTTAGTGCACGGGGGAGAAGGGAAGTCAGAGTGGTCAGCGCACAGGGACAGAGGGGCAGCAAGGTGGTTAAGGGCATGGGGTGAGGGGGGGAGGCAGGCTGGTTAGCGCACATGGACAGAGGGGCAGCAAGGAGGGTTAGGGCACGGGGTGAGAGGAGGACACACACAGGAGGACATCGGGGATAACGGCCTACATCAGGGGGGGAACCAGCTCACCGTGCGCAGGCCGGATGAACTATGTGGAGGCCCCAAACTGGAGCAGTGTAAAGTCCCACACTCCACTGCGGTTGTGGTATTATTGTGGCATAAGGACCATGGCCCCTTTTTGTAAATAGGGGAGAGAGGGAGGCGGGTTTAGGGGGGGAGAGTCAGACAACACGTGTCGTGAAGCATGTGCATGGCAACCAGAGTTGGGACGTGCTCGCGGTTCGTTGTGCGTCAAGTCCAAGTTACAAGGCATGCTAGAAGGCACGGCTCGGGTTGACGGCAACATAACGATACAACTCACCGTTTAGGCTGCGCCGTGCCCCCCAGGCCGGGGCTCGCGTCGCGCGGCTCGTGTCGACTGCCGAAGATCTCAAATTGTGCACGTTGGAGCCCACTGAAATTCCGGGAGACGCAATGTCGGGAGGCGAGACTGCTGTCTGAGGTGTTGCTGTCCCCGTCTGTGCCCGAGTTGCAGGCGAACCAGTCATGGCCGCCGACGCAAGATCATCATCAGTCTGTTCCTCCGAGGGTCGCCGCCACTCGTGTAGGATGTTGTCGACCCAACACCAGTCCATCGGACCCAGTACCCGGTCCCTCCGTCGGCGCCGCACTCTCGTGATATGACGCACACGCGTGACAAAAGCGCGCACGATCCGGTCCATGCAATTGTTCCAATGTATTACTGCCAGAGCCACCCTCGCGTCATAGCTTCCTTGAAACCTGTTTCCTTTTGGGGCGTACTTCAGGATGAGCGAATGAAATGAGTCATTCATGGAACTCGTAGCGCCCTCCACAATGCAAGCCACCTTGGCTATACTAAAGTTCCTACGACACCAATCCCTCACTGCCAAGTGTGTAGCGGAGTTCCGCTCGTATATAGCGCACTCAGGACCCCAGTTCTCCGACACGCATTTTGGCGTTGCACCTGCCCGTGCACCACACCGTGAGTGATCCCCTACCCAGTGGTCAGCACACAGGCACAACTCCTCCGATACCTCCTCGGGAGTCGGAGTGTTCCCGTCAGCCGACCGTGCCCCGCTACGCAGCATACAATGATAAAAGTGCACGCCCAACCTGTCCGCCACGGTGTGCACCTTTTTGCCCCCCCGTGGTGCCCCGCTGTCTTCCCCACCGGTAGCCGACCCTCTACGCGTCCGTCTTCTTGGGGCTCGCCGACCCCAACGCCTGCCGCTCTGCTGCTGGGTCCCCGCTGCCGGATCCACGTTCTCGTCTGCCCCACTTCCCTGTCTGTTGTTTTCCTCTCCCTCCACATCCATGTCGCCACCGCCCATGTGGGCTTGGTTGCCTGCACGCACAAAATCAGAGCGCATGTGATTGGCCGCTCACATGAGAACCCGATCGACTGCAAGATGAACTCAATAACCGATTTGAATGATCATGCACATCCGTTCATAGCCGTTTCTCTCCACACAGAAAGCTCTACTACATATTACCTGGGTTTGTATTTGGTACTTGATCGTCTTCCATCATGAAGTGACGCCCCTCCCCGATGTCGTTCCATGCTTGGACAAGCAACATCGATGCGTGCGAGTGGGGCCGTATCCCCCGCACTGGATGGACGTCACCATCCCACAATTCCTCCACATCGGACCATCTAACCATAGCGTCCGGCATCCTCTCCGTACCCCCCTCAGCCATGCCTCCATTCCTGTCGCTTTCACTTTCCTCTGGCGCATCTCCTCCTACCGCCCCTGCCCCCTGCTCCCTTGGTACTTCCCCTCGTCCCGTGTTGTTGGCTGTCCTAACTCCCCTTTCCAACCTCACTACTTGTTGCAGCTCTAGGTGCAAATACTTTGCATCCGACTCCTTCATGTCTTTGAACTCAAACGCACGCAAAAGACATACTGCGCGAATGATTTCTTTTTTCCCCGCCGATCTGCTCACCCCCCCACCGCCTCGGGAAGGATGCCCTAACCACTCTAACAGTTTTTTCACTGTGATTAGATATAGATCCTCACATACGATTGCCCCGTCTACCGTGCCAGCCTTTCGAGTCGCGTCCTGCACCTTTTCCCTAAAGTTACGGACCACAGAACCACACTTATGCCACCAATCTACTTGGTGCTTCACACCTCGCTCGTTGGCGGCTCCACTATAAGTGTTTCCCTTATCCGTGACAATGCCCTCTAGCCCAAAACCACTATTCACTAACTCGTCCATGCCCTGGTTGAACGCTACCCTCTCTAGCATCACCGATGAGTCGTCATCCCTCCCTCTCCTAGTGTTTTTACACATCATGATTTTTCGGGATTCACGGTCCATGAACGACACCGTGCACCATTTGGCTTCGCGAACATTCGACCAACGACCATCGATGCACAGCCATCTTCTATTTACTGGACGCTGTGACATGCTCACCCGAACTGCTTCCATACTGCTTCTGGCCTGCTCTATGATCGCACTCCATAGACCACTATCGCCACCCATGAAGCGGTAAAATGTTCCATGGCCTGGACGTGGAACACCCAAGCTGCGACATATCTCCCAAGTTTGTTGATACCCGATTCCTGCTAGAGCAAAGGCTCCCACAAGCTTATGCATCACTGGAGGGGTTCGTGGTCCAGGCTTACTCGATGGCAAATCGTCCCTTACCCTACTGGTCGACCACATCTCATCCTTTGTAGGACAAGAGGTGCACATCCACAGCATTCCAAAACACGCCCACGACCTCTTCCATGATGCAAGCATCATCTCACCCTGACAGCCATTTTTCTGACAGTAACCCAATGCCCGGCCACAAAAGAAGGAAACCATCACCCTCGGATCAAGGAAACATAGCATGTCCGATGGAAAGTCGTCCCAGTTTGGATGGGATTTCCACCCTTGCGGCACCCGCCTTGGGGCCGGTCCCTCTCGTGGTGCTGATCTGCAAGTACGACACGGAATGACAGAACACGGTTGCGGTGTACAGTGGCCAGAGTCGGACTCAGTTGCATGACAAAGCGGACGATACTCTAGGTGTTGCATTCCTCCTATTGATTGCGCACGCGAATATCTTAGGGTCCTCTCAAAATTGCCACCAGGATCCTAGAGCACTCACCCGTCATGAACATCGACCGCCTCGGCTGCATCGTTTGCAGATATCCCCCCATCTCCAAGACGTGCCCCCGTTTCATGGGACCCTTCTCGGACCTGCCCCATGGCACCAGATCCTTCAGCACTCTCACCCATATGCGAGCCACCCCCCCCCCCTAGCTGCCGGATCACGACCTTCTTGCCTCGCAGTACCGAGTAACCTCCCCCCCCTTGTCGGCGCATCATGGCAGCCTCCCCCCCCATTGCCATCTCCGCGCTGCTGTCCTCCAGTATCTGTCGCCGAACTGTCGTCCGACTCCTCCGACGTGCTCGCTCCCACCGGCGCGGCCCCATCCACAGGAACATTGTCGCACGTTAGCACCGATGTCTGTCTCATCTCCCATTTCAACGACTTGACGCGACCACTAAGTCATCCTAAAGACATCCACACACCTGTTGCTTGATGATTTATCCATCTTGATCCCTTGCGTGCGCCACCCCATCCATTTCCGTTGACCCTCCGCATACCACCCCTCCCCACCTCCTCCCAGGGTGGGAAGTCGTAATTCACACCAGCCAACTCTCTATTCCCGCGGTCCAGAATGTCATCCATCTTCGCCGCACCCCGGCCCATTCGTTTCCAGAACGTAGTGGACGAAGCCGCAAGATGTAGTTTCACCACCTCATTGGCTGCGTGCCCATGAGGTCCTGCGTTGTGCACCAGCACAAACGAACCATTAGTTCCTTGTTTATTCCAATACACGTACCTTCACATATACTTTTTGACGAGTTGATGTACACACGTCAGCTCACCTGCATTCGCGGCAGCCTGCCGTAATCTCGCTGTTACGTTCGGGGCAGCGTGCATGTAGATTCTTAGTAGGTCACTGAGTGTGGCCAAACGCGGCCCAGGCATGAGCACGCTCAACCCTATGCACAAGTAGCAGATGGGTGCTCGTAACGACCACTCTACATTGTGTCGGCGCACATCGTATGTTTGGCATGCCCGTGCTGCATTGCGGGTTGCCCGTCCCCCACAAGGCTCCCTGTACGAGCGCAGAAAGGGGGCAACATGTGCAGTTTGGTTCACGACATTGGTGATGGTTCTCATATTTCAACGCGGCCCAGTACCACAAGGGATCATCCACTCCTTGCACAACAGGTGCGCCCATTATATTTCACCCGTCACCAACAACCCAACTGTGGGGGCTGAGGCGTGGCACCACAAATGAATGATTGCGTAGTGGGCAACCCTCATTACATTGTCAAGGCTGTTCTCGTACCCTCACTTACCGACAGTCGGTATGCACATGTCTACTAGATCCCCCACGCTGCCCGCCATGTGGGCTCGTTCCGCCCCGCCTCGCGCCCAACATTCTCGACACTGCCACCACCCTTCTGCCACACACACAAAGTAGTGAAGACAAGCATAGCCCATGTGGAACATTGCTTGCCAATTTCCATGGGGATGGGTTGAATCGAGGGATAGCAACTCCTCCTTGCCAAACATGACCCTCCAATATCCCCTTTCTCACCCTCCCAATCCACATCACATGAACACTTGCTCCCACCCTGCTCCGCAGCTGGCCCCTTGCTCCGCATCTCCCACCTTGCTCTGCATCTTGCCCTATCCATCTTGCTCCCCTCCTGCAACCGCGCACCCCACAGCCTAGCTCCTCATCGCACCTCAGAGCATATCTACCGATGCTCCCTCTCGTAGGCTGCACTCTATCCAGCCTTGCTACAGTGGTCCCCCCGAGCCCTCTGAACCCTAGCTCCCCATTTCACCCCACACCCTATCGATCCATGCTCCCTTCCCTCTCCCCACTCTCTCCACCCGTTCCCCCTCTCACCCCAAGGCCTATCTACGCCCCCACCGCTTACGCTATACGCCCCTATTCAGCCTTACTCCCATGGTCACCTAGCGCCCTCTGTACCGTCGCTTCCTATTTTACTCCATGCACTATGCAGCGGTGCTCCCCCACTCACCCCACAGCCTATCCAGAAACCGGGATGAGGCATAGCAAACCGGAAAAGGTGGGGGGGGGGGGGGTTTGCTGAACAGGGAGATGTGGTGCACCTGGTTCTGTTGCAATGCATGATCAACCCAGAAGCACAACATCATGCATAATAAACATGCAACATGCCATGCTTGAAAAGCCCAATTCCCCCAGCCACTGAATTTCAGCCCCAGCATCATGCCATGGTAGAGTTTCGCGAGCTAAACTCCGGTATGAGGCAATTGGCGAGAGAGAGGGAGGGAGCATTGTATCAGGTGGGGTGGGTGAGGTGGAGACATAGGGGTGCAGAGCTGTGGTGGTAGGCTGTGTGGCTAGATCCGGATTCTTTGACACTACCGCGGATTTTCCCAACTCCGGCCCGACATAGGGGTGCAGAGCTGTGGTGGTAGGCTGTGTGCTTAGATCCGGACTCTTGACACTACTGGTTGGGTTCGCTTTGTCGTTGCCCGGCTGGAAAATCCATCAAATCTTGCGTGGCCTGTCCATTTTCCCAGCTTCCCCTATCTCCCCACGCCCTATCCAACATGCACCCTGCGCTCTCAACAGGTATTTTCCAGCCGTGTTCTCCCGTTTCAATCAGCACCCTACCCACACTTGCTCCCGTTCTCACCCCACACCCACTCCACTCTTGCTCAACCGGGCATACCACGGCCTATCCAGCATCCCTTACACTCTCACACCCCACGCCCTATCTAGCCTTGCTCCCCCTCTCACCCCGCGCCATATCCAGCATCCATTCACTTCTCACCGCACGCCCTACCCAGCCTTGCTTCCCCACTCACCCGACACTCTAAACTGCATTGCTACCCCTCTCACCCCCCCCTACCCAGCCTTGCTTCCCCGCTCACCCCACCCTATCCAGCCTTGCTTCCCCTCTCACCCCACGCCCTTTCCAGCCTTGCTTCCCCTCTCACCCCATGCCCTATCCAGCCTTGCTTCCCCACTCACCCGACACTCTAAACTGCATTGCTTCCCCTCTCACCACCCGCCCTACCCAGCCCTGCTTCCCCTCTCAACCCACGCCCTATCCAGCCTTGCTTCCCCTCTCACCCCATGCCCTATCCAGCCTTGCTTCCCCACTCACCCGACACTCTAAACTGCATTGCTTCCCCTCTCACCACCCGCCCTACCCAGCCTTGCTTCCCCGCTCACCTCACACTGCAAACTGTCCTGCTTCCCCTCTCACCCCACGCCCTACCCAGCCATATTTCCCACTCACCCCGCGCCTTGCCCAGCCTTGCTTCCCCTCTCTCCCCACACTGTAAACTGTCTTGCGTCCCCTCTCACCCCACGCCCTATCCAGCCTTGCTTTCCCTCTCACCCCACGACCTATCCAGCCTTGCTTCCCCTCTCACCCCATGCCCTATCCAGCCTTGATTCCCCACTCACCCAACACTCTAAACTGCATTGCTTCCCCTCACCCCCCGGCCCTACCCAGCCTTGCTTCCCCGCTCACCTCACACTGTAAACTGTCTTGCTTCCCCTCTCACCCCACGCCCCTACCCCAGCCATATTTCCCCACTCACCCCGCGCCTTGCCCAGCCTTGCTTCCCCTCTCTCCCACACTGTAAACTGTCTTGCGTCCCCTCTCACCCCACGCCCTATCCAGCCTTGCTTCCCCTCTCACCCCACGACCTATCCAGCCTTGCTTCCCCTCTCACCCCCATGCCCTATCCAGCCTTGCTTCCCCTCTCACCCCACGACCTTTCCAGCCTTGCTTCCCCTCTCACCCCACGCCCTATCCAGCCTTCGCTTCCCCTCCTCACGCCCATGCCCTATCCAGCCTTGCTTCCCCACTCACCCAACACTCTAAACTGCATTGCTTCCCCTCACACCCCCCGCCCTACCCCAGCCTTGCTTCCCCGCTCACTCACACTGTAAACTGTCTTGCTTCCCCTCTCACCCCACGCCCTACCCAGCCATATTTCCCCACTCACCCCGCGCCCTGCCCAGCCTTGCTCCCCTCTCTCCCCCACACTGTAAACTGTCTTGCGTCCCCTCTCACCCCACGCCCTATCCAGCCTTGCTTCCCCTCTCACCCCACGCCCTATCCAGCCTTGCTTCCCCACTCACCCAACACTCTAAACTGCATTGCTTCCCCTCACACCCCCCGCCCTACCCAGCCTTGCTTCCCCGCTCACCTCACACTGTAAACTGTCTTGCTTCCCCTCTCACCCCACGCCCTACCCAGCCATATTTCCCCACTCACCCCGCGCCTTGCCCAGCCTTGCTTCCCCTCTCTCCCCACACTGTGAACTGTCTTGCGTCCCCTCTCACCCCACGCCCTATCCAGCCTTGCTTCCCCTCTCACCCCACGACCTATCCAGCCTTGCTTCCCCTCTCACCCCATGCCCTATCCAGCCTTGCTTCCCCTCTCACCCCACGACCTTTCCAGCCTTGCTTCCCCTCTCACCCCACGCCCTATCCAGCCTTGCTTCCCCTCTCACCCCATGCCCTATCCAGCCTTGCTTCCCCACTCACCCAACACTCTAAACTGCATTGCTTCCCCTCACCCCCCGGCCCTACCCAGCCTTGCTTCCCCGCTCACCTCACACTGTAAACTGTCTTGCTTCCCCTCTCACCCCACGCCCTACCCAGCCATATTTCCCCACTCACCCCGCGCCTTGCCCAGCCTTGCTTCCCCTCTCTCCCCACACTGTAAACTGTCTTGCGTCCCCTCTCACCCCACGCCCTATCCAGCCTTGCTTCCCCTCTCACCCCACGACCCTATCCAGCCTTGCTTCCCCTCTCACCCCACGCCCTATCCAGCCTTGCTTCCCCTCTCACCCCACGCCCTATCCAGCCTTGCTTCCCCACTCACCCAACACTCTAAACTGCATTGCTTCCCCTCACACCCCCCGCCCTACCCAGCCTTGCTTCTCCGCTCAACCTCACACTGTAAACTGTCTTGCTTCCCCTCACAACCCCACGCCCTACCCAGCCATATTTGCCCACTCACCCCCGCGCCTTGCCCAGCCTTGCTTCCCCTCTCTCCCCACACTGTAAACTGTCTTGCGTCCCCGTCTCACCCCACGCCCTATCCAGCCCTTGCTTCCCCTCTCACCCCACGACCTATCCAGCCTTGCTTCCCCTCCTCACCCCATGCCCTATCCAGCCTTGCTTCTCCACTCACCCAACACTCTAAACTGCATTGCTTCCCCTCACCCCCCGGCCCTACCCAGCCTTGCTTCCCCGCTCACCTCACACTGTAAACTGTCTTGCTTCCCCTCTCACCCCACGCCCTACCCAGCCATATTTCCCCACTCACCCCGCGCCCTGCCCAGCCTTGCTTCCCCTCTCTCCCCACACTGTAAAGTGTCTTGCGTCCCCTCTCACCCCACGCCCTATCCAGCCTTGCTTCCCCTCTCACCCCACGACCTATCCAGCCTTGCTTCCCCTCTCACCCCATGCCCTATCCAGCCTTGCTTCCCCTCTCACCCCACGACCTTTCCAGCCTTGCTTCCCCTCTCACCCCACGCCCTATCCAGCCTTGCTTCCCCTCTCACCCCATGCCCTATCCAGCCTTGCTTCCCCACTCACCCAACACTCTAAACTGCATTGCTTCCCCTCACCCCCCGGCCCTACCCAGCCTTGCTTCCCGCTCACCTCACACTGTAAACTGTCTTGCTTCCCCTCTCACCCCACGCCCTACCCAGCCATATTTCCCCACTCACCCACGCCTTGCCCAGCCTTGCTTCCCCTCTCTCCCCACACTGTAAACTGTCTTGCGTCCCCTCTCACCCCACGCCCTATCCAGCCTTGCTTCCCCTCTCACCCACGACCTATCCAGCCTTGCTTCCCCTCTCACCCCATGCCCTATCCAGCCTTGCTTCCCCTCTCACCCCACGACCTTTCCAGCCTTGCTTCCCCTCTCACCCCACGCCCTATCCAGCCTTGCTTCCCCTCTCACCCCATGCCCTATCCAGCCTTGCTTCCCCACTCACCCAACACTCTAAACTGCATTGCTTCCCCTTACACCCCCCGCCCTACCCAGCCTTGCTTCCCCGCTCACCTCACACTGTAAACTGTCTTGCTTCCCCTCTCACCCCACGCCCTACCCAGCCATATTTCCCCACTCACCCCGCGCCCTGCCCAGCCTTGCTTCCCCTCTCTCCCCACACTGTAAACTGTCTTGCTTCCCTCTCACCCCACGCCCTATCCAGCCTTGCTTCCCTCTCACCCCACGACCTTTCCAGCCTTGCTTCCCCTCTCACCCCACGCCCTATCCAGCCTTGCTTCCCCTCTCACCCAACACTCTAAACTGCATTGCTTCCCTCACACCCCCGCCCACCCAGCCTTGCTTCCCCGCTCACCTCACGTCAACTGTCTTGCTTCCCCTCACACCCCCGCCCTACCCAGCCTTGCTTCCCCGCTCACCTCACACTGTAACTGTCTTGCTTCCCCTCTCACCCCACGCCCTACCCAGCCATATTTCCCCACTCACCCCGCGCCCTGCCCAGCCTTGCTTCCCTCTCTCCCCACACTGTAAACTGTCTTGCGTCCCCTCTCACCCCACGCCCTATCCAGCCTTGCTTCCCCTCTCACCCCACGACCTATCCAGCCTTGCTTCCCCTCTCACCCCACGCCCTATCCAGCCTTGCTTCCCCTCTCACCCAACACTCTAAACTGCATTGCTTCCCCTCACACCCCCCGCCCTACCCAGCCTTGCTTCCCCGCTCACCTCACACTGTAAACTGTCTTGCTTCCCCTCTCACCCACGCACTCCCCAGCCTTGATTCCCGTCTCACCCCACGCCATATCCAGCCTTGCGTCCCTTCTCATCCCACGCCCTATCTATCCTTGCTCCCCTCCCACCCACGCCCTATCCAGCATCCCTTCACTCTCACCCCGCGCCCTATCCAGCCTTGCTTCCCCACACCCGCGCGCTGTCCACTCCCTAACCACCTCCCCAACCGGTCCGTATGTAGACTTGCCCCCCCTCGCACCCGCTCCCATTGACCATTGATGCATCGCAAACTCACCCGAACTCACCCACCCTTGATCCCTTTCTCGTCCCGCGTCCTACAAACGCAGTACACTAGCCTGTCCACTCTTGCGCCACTTCCCCAACCACACCCTGTTTACCATTCCTCCCCTTCTCACCCACGTCCTGTGTGCCCGTGCTATCCGCCCAACATCGGCTCTATGTGGCGTGGCCATCCCTCTCAACCCAAGCGCAGAGGACCCTGGCTATTCCCCCAACCAATGCTGTAAATAGGGTGGCAAACCCTCCCACCCCAAGCTATATTTTCGGCAAATGGATACCAGTTGCGACCCTCCTCCGTCCCTGCGCCCTCTCCCTCTGTTCCTCCTCCTCCATCGCAGCGTGCTTCTTGCCCTCTCCCCCTATCCGCCTGTCTATCCCCTGTGATAGCGCTGCTTTTTCCTCTCTCCGCCGACCTCTCCCTCTTTCTTGATCTCTGTTTCTCTCTCTCTCTCTCTCTTCTCTCTCTCTTCTCTCTCTCTCTCTCTCTCTCTCTCTCTCTCTCTCTCTTTCTCTCTCTCTCATTCTCTCTCTCTCTCTCATTCTCTCTCTCTCTCTCTCTCTCTCTCTCTCTCTCCCTCTCTCTTCCTCTCTCTCTCTCTCTCTCTCTCTCCTTCTTCTCTCTCTCTTCTGTCTTCCTGTCTTCTCTTTGCCCTCTCCGCAGTTTCGTGTTTCGCCTCGGCCTGTCGGCGTCCATTGCCATTCCTAATAGCGCATTTATGCTTACAAGCTTTTATTAGATGTTGTGTCAGCTAGGCGCGGGTCCACCTCCGCCCTCTTCCGGTGGGTGCTAGCCCACGGCCCGCGTTCTTTTCTGTTTCCTCCGGCGATTGCGGCACGCCGCGCCGCCACTAGCCGCACACACTTGCGATGCGGCTTTTCCGGGCGTCTTTTCTAACCTTATCCGCTCAGCCACGCTCCT